CATTAGTGCCGCCATGCCCAAAGCCAAACCCAGGAAGCCTGCCAGAGCAGCGGCAAACAGCGAGCACTTGCAAACCCCACCTTTACCGCCTCCTCTCCCTCCAACGGCCCCGTCTCCCCTTGGCCCGCAGCAGCAGAAGAAGAAGCCAACATCGCCTGTGAAGCCGATGCCTCAGCGGGCGCTGTATGGCGTCACCACAACAGCAGCTGCAAAAGCAAAGCCGGGATTCGCATTTGACTCGCCGCGCCACTACACGCCGATTGAAGGAACGCCATGCTGCTTCTCACGCAATGACTCACTGAGCTCGCTGGACTTCGATGAAGAGGATGGCGGCGAGAAGGACGAAGAAGAAAAGAAGGCAAAAGAAGAAGAAGGCAGGAAGAAGAAGCAGCAGACAGCTGCCGTTTTTCCACGCACAAAACCACCGACCAATCAGACGGCCACGGACGAGAAGCAGAAGTTCGCTATTGAGGACACGCCCGTATGCTTCTCCAGGAACTCCTCGCTGAGCTCACTGAGCGACATCGACCAGGAGAACAACAACAAGGAGTTTGCCCCACCCCCGCCGGAGCAGCAAGACAAAGGCAAAGAGGGGGCAAAGTCTCCACCCCCTCCAGCAGAGGTGTGTCTAGATACTTGAGTAAAGTACTTAGAGCAGAGAGTACACAGACTAATACACAGAGTAAGGCGTAATTAGTGTAGTGTGTACTGTTTACCTTGTTTACTTGTTACTTTGTTACTTCCTGCTGGAGTTACAGTTTTGCTTCACAGAAATGTATCAGTCTTGTGACAGATGTCCCTCTGTGCTCCTCTATCCCTGATAGGTGGAGTCAAAGCCTCGCCCCCCTGCGGCCACTGGCTACGCACCTAAAGCCTTTCATGTTGAGGACACGCCCGTGTGCTTCTCCAGGAACTCCTCGCTGAGCTCACTGAGCATAGACTCGGAGGACGACTTGCTGCAGGAGTGCATCAGTTCCGCCATGCCCAAGAAGAAAAAGAAAACCACCACCCTCCCTGTACCTGCCCCGCCTCTATCTGTCTCCAAAGCTGAAGATGGCATTCTGGCTGAGGAGGAGCCTTCAGATGCACCAAGGAGCCCTGCCTCTCCAGATTCAGAGTCCTTTGATTGGAAGGCCATCCAGGAAGGTGCCAACTCCATCGTCAGCAGCTTGAATGCTGCTGCCGCTGCCTCCTCACTCTCCCGCCAGCCATCATCAGACTCTGACTCGGTCCTGTCGTTGAAATCTGTCGGCTCGCCCTTCCACCTTACAACAGCTAATAACAACGAAGAGGAGGAGGAACCAGAGGAGAAGACAAAGCGAGGCGCGAGGATCCTGAAGCCTGGTGAGCGCAGCACGCTGGAGGCCAAGAAGAAGAGAGAGGAGGAGGAGGAGGAGGAGGAGGAGGAAGCGAAGGCTTTGAGGGGCGGGAAGAAGGTGTACAGGAGTCTGATCACTGGAAAGCCAAGAGCGGAGCCGGCAGCCAGGGGGCGGAGCAAGCCCCGAGCAGCTGCTGTGGCCAAAGCTCCTGGAGGCAGCGATGTAGATCGAGTGGGCGGGTCCTCTCGGGACTCCACCCCATCTCGCTCCACCCCAGCACCCAGTCAGAAAGGAGGGAAGCTCTCGCAGCTGCCACGCACGGCTTCTCCAGGAAGTGCATCATCATCCTCTGCATCCAGGACCACTAAACCCACCACAACCCCGAAGAGTGGTGGTGGGATCCCGAGAAGCGAGTCCACATCGAGAGTCAGTGGCTCCACTGCCGCCAAGAAGCAGAAGGCGGAGCCTGAGAAGCCGGCACTCGTAAGGCAGTCAACCTTTATCAAAGAAGCTCCGAGCCCGACACTGAAGAGGAAGCTGGAGGAGACGGCAGTGGCAGCCGCTCTCGAGTCGCCATCCAGCCCAGACACGCCACTACCTTCAACCGCCAGGAGAAACGACGTCAACCGTTCACACTCTGAAAGCCCGTCACGCCCACAGGAAGTGACATCATCTCGCTTCAGCCGCACCGGCACCTGGAAACGGGAAAACAGCAGTGGGGGAGGCGGAGCCAGCAGCGGGAAACATTCAACCTCTCTCCCGCGCGTCGGCACCTGGAAAAGAACGGGAAGCTCATCGTCCGTGCTGTCAGCATCCTCCGAGTCCAGCGAGAAGGGACGGAGTGAGGAGGAGAGTGCCATGAGATTGAAGGGAACGTGGAGAAAGGCAAAGAGCAGCGGCGACCCATTCAGCAACCGAGGCTTCGCCGACAAGTCCGAAGACGTGTGGGTCCGGCTGGAGGACTGCCCTGTCAACAACCCCCGCTCCTCCTCCTCCTGCTCTGCCCGCTCGCCTACTGCCATCAATGCCCCACCCATCATCGACAGCCCCGCTCCCTCCAAGATCCCGTCTTCCTCCTCCTCTTCCTCCTCTAACCTTAACCTGCGCCGCAGCTGCGAGAGCCTTGACGAAAAGCCAGCGCCGATCGAGAGCCGGCCGCAACAGCCGCCGCACCAGCAGCAGCGCGCTCAGCAGCGCAGCGGTGCCGTTGCGGCCCGAGTCAGCCCCTTCAACTACACGCCAAGCCCAAGGAAGAGCAGTGCTGAAGGCACAGCACCCACTACCACCACATCATCTTCCACTACCCCTACGCGGCCCTCCCTTATCCCCACCCCAATCACGAAGAAACGCGAGCCAAAGGGAGGCGAGGGCGGTGGCAGCAGTGGGGGCGGTGGCAGCAGTGGGGGCGGTGGCGAACGCGGCTCATACATCGTGACATCTGTGTAAATATGCAAGACCAACAGGAAGTGTTTATGAGATGAACTGTACAGAAAGTGAGTGTATTTAAGTGCTGTGCCCACCCCCTCACCTGCTCCTCTCTCCTGATTGGCTGCTGCCAGCTGTCCATCAACTCAAAGAAACTCTAACATGAACTTTTTATGTTTTTATACCACTAAAGATGTGTAGCGCTTAGCTCTGCCCCCTGCCTTACCCTGCATGGCCCCACCCCCCTAACATGACAGTAACCATGGACACTGATGATGATGATGTTGATAATTCAGCGCCTTTGATAGTTTTTCATGTTTTTTGAGTTTGGTTCTGAACAGAACAGTTGGATCCAACCAATCAGTGATTCCCCTCTCAGCTTCTGACCAATCACATTCAGTGTCTTTGAGTCAGTCAGAGACCCGCCCTTCAGTTGGTCATCTGTTCTGTCAGAACCTCTCTTCTTCTTTGGAAGTCTGCTGCCGACTCGAATACCTGACCCACCTGAGACGGTTGACGAGGCTTGGCAGAAGACTTTCTGTGTGTCGCCATGGAAACAGATAACACTGTAAACCGTAAGTTATTGCTGTAAACTGAACAGAAGCACATAATTTAAATGAGCAGATTTTTGGTTCTTGATTTTAAATCTGAACATTAAACGAATGCAACACGATACCCGCTTCCTGTTTTTACTGATCCACTTCCTGTCTGCTGTCTGATTTCATGTGACAACATAAATCTGCTGCTCTCTGTGGCTCTGTCAATAAAGTTTGAAACACTGGTGTGACCTTGGGGGCTGACCTGTTTTATTGCAGCTTTAAACAGGAGGTAATGAAGACGATTATAGCCAATCACATTTGACATCTTAGGTGCAGAAAGTTGGTCTCATGATCATTACAAACTTTATTTATAAAACCTGTAAAAACATCTAAAAAGTTGATGTGAACCGAGAGTGAGGAAATCATCTGAATGCTATCCAGAATATCCAGACTACAGGGAGACCCCCCAGTATTCTGGATAGCTGAGTCGGCTGGTGGGATTGGGCAGTCACTGTATAAATATAATTGAATCGATGATGATGAAACGTGTTGGTGATTTTAATGTGTGTCGCGGTTTGGAGCTGATCTGTGGATGAACAGGAAGGTTTAACTTTCACTGGATGTGAGAAGTGAAGGAAAATCTGAGTGAGGCTTAGACTGAGTAGTCTTTAAACAGCCATTCAGCTGCTGTGCTGCGTAAACACCCTGCTGAATAAAGAAACTCAGTCACACAAATGTGTAAAGCAGCAGGTGATGGCGTCTGCAATCTTGCAGAAAGCTTTAGGTAGGTCCTTAAAATCAAAGCAAAAACATTGAGGATTCTTCAGGTCAGATCCAACAAATACTGTTTCATCCAATGAGAATCGTCTGCTCTGAAGGTTTGACTGGAACACTGCTGCCTCTTTTTACCGTTTAATGTGTTTCATTAATGTTCATGTTTCCTTCCTTTGTCTCCTCCTGGACTCAAACAACAGGAGCAGCCCTGGGTTCAGAGGAGCTTCTCTGAAATCATTCAAATCTCTGAGGTAAAACTCAGAGAAGCCACTGCTTCAGCCCCTGATCATCTCCTCCAGCTGCAGGCCCTCCAGATTTTCACCAGAAAGTCAATACTTGCTGTGAGTGCTCCTCATCCTTCAGCTGAGCTCTCTGAGCAGCTCTCCGTCATCTCTGTGAGGGTCTCCCACTGTAGTTTCTTGAAGGGCATTCAAAGCTGTTGTTTGGATGTTTCTGCCTTATGTTGTGTGCTCTGTCAGGATGATCCAACACTCTGAACTTTTACTCACAGGTCAAAGTTCAGAGGTCAGGTACAAGGACTGGTTTGAACACATGTCAAAAAAAGCCAAGGAAGAATTTTAAACTTTCAGAAAGCAGGAGAACTTTTGCTCAAGAGCACTTTTAAAATAAACAGAAGGTCTGACTGAAGACTTTTGCACACTACTGCGCAAACATCAGAATCAATAATAATATACATCCCCGTCAGTTTTCTCTTCTCCGCGCTCTTATTTTGACACACTTCACAGGAAATGAGTATGTACATACGTATGCCGTCACTTCAGGCCCGTACCTTCGTCCACACTTACCGCTGTTTCTGTCTCAGGTGATGGACGCTCAGAAGGTAAGAGTGTGATCAATCGGTGATCAATCGAGCAGTGAGTGAAAGTTAGGGGAGTGAGGGGGGGGCGGACGTGGTGGAGGGAGGGGTGCAAGGAAATGGAAGCAGAGGAGGGGGGATTAGCTGCTAGCTGTTAGCGGTTAGCTTCTCTTTCTCTGGTGGACCGAGCTTCATTGAGAACAAGAGCTGTGCATTATAACATACTGATCAGTCGGCGAGTACAGGTGGGGGTCACATGACCTTTAGCGTGTTCAGACTTTGGGGTCACAATGAACCCTCCAAGTTTCAAAATAAAACCCGTACATCCGAAGTCATTTTCATAGTAAAATACCTCATTCCTGTTCAAATGTGCTTTACTGAGTTTCTAAAAACATACGCGTTACAAAAGCGTGAAATTACAGTTCAGTATCAGTGCACAGCCAACAAAATGTACATGTCAATCATTCAATCAATAGTCAGTCAGTTCATTCTTAGAGCACCATCACCTCAGGGCTACCAGGTGAAGCTTCGATCTGTGCTTTCACCTTTTATTTTGGTTCAGTGTGTCCAGACTTCCTGCCAGACTTCCGGTGAGTCTTTAACCAATGAGAGCGCCATCTGAAGGTCGGACAGCTGCAGCTCTAACAGGTGGAGCAGGCAGGTGTGTGCGGGCCAGAGACTGGCAGGATGGTGATGGTTGTATTCACCTCAGCTAGGATGCCAAGCCTTCTTTGGTCCATTATGGTCTACGGAGGCTGATCCTGGTCGAGGTGTTTAACCCGCCTTCTGAGCCGATGCTCTCGTCTGATTGGTCTCTGTCAGGTGTGGAATCAGGGAGGAAGATGAGGAAGAGGAGCTCTGTGTGTCTCGCTGTCTCTGCTCTAACAGTTTTGTGATTACTTAGTGCTGCTTAAGGCTTCACCAACATGGAGGAAGGTGCTGTAAAAAATAGTTTATTTTTTAAATGTTTGTTTGTAAACAGGAAGCTCTGCGCAGGATTATCAGCACATTGGCCAGTAAGAACGAGGAGCTTCAAAACTTCCTGGAAGCAGTTGATCACACGCTGACGGGCCTGCAGGTCAGCTCATTAATCAGCTGAATTAACAAAGGGAAGGGCTTAGGTGGATGGGACAAGAGAAACTAAAGGAAAAATAACTAAAGTTAACTTTGCTAAATCAGGAGGAGTCATGCAAGGTGATGTCAGACTTGGAGGCAGAGTTGGAGAAGCTAAACTCTGCCCTGGAGGAGAAGGGGGCGGAGCTCCGTTACATAATCAAAGAAGAGAAGCAAAGAAAGGAGGCGGAGCTTCAGGTAGAAACTTTATTTTTTAATGAATTATTTTTATCTGGAACACTTTATTTTTTAGTATATTATTTAGTTTTACATATTTATTTACTCATTGTTTTTAAAGTGATTTTTTCTACTTTGCAAATAATATTTTACATTTAATGTATATACATTCATAAATATTTTTTATATCTATTCATTGGCAGCACTTTATTTGTTTCCATTTTTTATTTTTGAAGCTATTGATTGATTGACTGGGTTGTTTTCTGCATGGTGTTTCAGAAGCAGCTGTCAGAGGGCAAGTTTGCTCTGGTCTCTTGCGAGGAGCTTCTTGACTTTGCAAATCAAACACTTACGATCAACACCGAAGAAGAATTTCTCGCGGTGAGGCGTGATGAAGACAAGGAAGATGATGTCATCAGTTCATTTAAAAAAAACTAAAAATGTTTTTTTGTTTTGTTTTCAGGCAGCAAAACAAATCAAAGAACGGTATGTCTGTTTAATGTGTAAAGCTGTGTAATGTTTGTTTTCATTGTCATTTCATTTGATGATATCAGATGTTTGTTTTTGTTTGTTTGTTTACAATGTTTCTTTTTGATATCATTGATTCTTCTGAATCTTTTCAAACTAACAAACCTCTTACTGAAGCTCTCCAATGATTTACATACAAACTCCGCCCCAACCTTTCTAACCCCATCCCTAAATACTAACACCTAACCCACCCCACTCCATTGGGATCCGCCCCAACACTGTTACTAGGGTAACAATGGCGCCGGCGTTCCGCCTAACCACTCGCCCTGCGGTGTCAGACAACATGTCACAATTTACTGTGGACTTCAGTGCAGAGAGGGCGGGGCTTCAACGACTTCACTTTCTGCCAGGTCAGTTGACGCAAACAGTTCAGGTGGTTGTTCTGTGAGGTCAGAGGTCACATGTTTTTCTTGTTTCTCAGTGCCGAGAGCTCCACAGATCGATGCCTCCAGTTGTGTAGTCCGTGACAACACCATCACGGTCACCTGGCGACCGCCTGGTGAGGCAGACAGTGGTGGCGATAGCAGCAGCAGACCAATCGAACGTTACGACCTAGAGTACCGAAAAACGGACCGTGACAGCACACTGAGAGTGGCAGGAGAGGCATGCTGGGAGAAAGTCTGTGACATTATCGAACCTCAGGTCACCATCTCAGGTAAAAGGTCAGAGGTCATTATTGCATGGCTACAGCATCATTGAGTTTAAACCAATTTCTGCATTTCAGGTTTGAAGTTCGATTCGCGTTTCATTGCCATTCGAGTCCGAGCTAGAAACAAAGCGGCAGCTGGCGAGTTCTCAGAGCCTATTGCCATAGAAACAACAGGTGAGCACACGACGTGGAATATTTAACTGTGTTTGAGGGGCGGAGCCTCAGATAATGATGACGCCTTGTTTTCCATGGTTTTTGTCTGCAGCGTATAACTTCAGCTTCGACGCTTCAACAGCGCACGCCGAGCTCAAGGTTCAGGGTGACACGGTGACCTGGGAGCCTCAGGGGGTCAAAGGTCATGATCCTCGCCTGCGAGGCAAAGAGAACAAAAGCAGGTGAGGACAGCTGTTAGTGATGATGCCGTTGTTTTTTTAATACACCTGAATGTATCTTAGAAGCACGATAAAGTTCATCGCTCACAGTATTGTGAAATGCACAGGCTTTTATTGTGAAAGAGAAAGAACAAGAAGATGCACTTTTCTCACCTGTAGAGTGACACACCTGTGCTGGTCAGGTAACGACAGCAGGAGGTGCTCTTAATTCCCTGAAAAAGCTGGTTGGGCCACATCACTTTTTTTGCTGATTTTTCGTATCTCCATCTGCGACTGGACGCCGCCAAGCTGTACATCATCGCTAACTGTTTGTCATTTTATCTCTGACCTCCTAAATAAACATGCTGGCCCCGCCGGAATGGGTCAGCTGATTCAAGAGAATTGTAGAGTCAGGAGGCCACACCTCCTCATTACACATTTACTGATCAGCTGACTGATTCAGAGGTGAGATCGTGTTGAGATCACAGCGGCTACCTGTCTCACCAGTTCACACGTGCCTCAGTAAATAACCTTTAACCTTTTTATCCCTCCTCAGTCTCCGTGCTGCTTCTTCTCCAACTTGCTCAGGTAGAAACAATCATGGCTGAGTGGTTTCCTAGCAACCAATCACTCTCTCCATTTGCCATTTTCACATCACTGCTGACATCACATCAGCGTTTAATTTCCTGTTTTAATTAAAAAGTTCATGTTTGGTTTTATTTCAAAATAAAGGCTTAACATGTTTAAAGGAAATGATGTCGTAACATAAACTTTTCTTCCATCATGTAACAAATGAAATGTTTTTGTCACGCTCATCTTCCTCTCTGCTGCATCATGCTTTGGCACAACCTCATTGGCTGTTTCACCTTGCCGTTTCATTCCCGCTATGTTGTTGACATTTATTAACATTTTTTTTGTGTTTACCTCAGCAGCCGGAGCGCCACGCCATCACCCAATAAAACGGCTGCAAGTCGAGGAGGACGCGATCGATTTGCTGGGGAGTCGTACACAGTGCTGGGTAGTAATACTGCACTCTTATTGCAGTACTAATACTGTAGTAACACTAAAGTGAATGTCTTTAAGATGTCAGAATTTTAAAAAAAAGTTGATTTAATAACAACTTGGATTTAATGATTTGACATTGAAATTTTATTCATTTTTTTAAATAATTTTTAATAATACAAGTTAAAATAAAATATTTCTAATTTTAAAAATTAAAAAGAAATTCCTTCTTGGTCTCCTAGGTGACGAGGAGATGACTAATGGTTGTCACTACTGGGAGCTCCACCCCCTGGCTGACTGGAAATCATTCAGTGTAGGGGTGGCCTATCGGGGCAGCCTGGGACGCTTTGACCAATTAGGGAAGGGCACCGGTTCGTGGTGTCTCCACGCCAGCCAATGGCTGCAGAGCTCTCTTGCCGCAAAGCACAACAACCGAGCAAAGACACTGGATTGGCCATTACCTCACCGAATCGGAATCTACTGTGACTATGACAACGGTCCGAAAAACAAAGAGTATTTTCAACTTCCTGGTTGCTCATTGACAGTGTGTTTGTTTTGTTTGTTTCTTTGTTTTTGTTTCTGAATTGACTTCCTGTTTTTTTTCAGGTGATTTGTTGTTTATTGATGTAGATCGTCTCCGTCTTGTTCACGCCTTCAAAACAAAGTTCAGCCAGCCGCTTGTCCCCGCCTTCACCGTGAGTACTATAACAGTAACACTACAGTAATAGTACAGTAATACTGTACAGTCACGGTTAAGTAACGGTACATTGACAGTATCACAGTACTCTCAATATATTACAGGACATACTCTGCATGTATTAAAGTGCTAACTGCTGTAAAACTGTGCCTTAGGTTTGGTGTGGTGGTATCACCATAGCGACAGGTCTTCAGGTGCCGAGCTTTATGGGAAATTTCCTGACAACCAATCGGAGCCTCAGCAGCCTTTCCCCGTGATCGACTGATGAGTGGTTTTATTTTAAGTCATATCATTGCTGTTTGTAATTCTTAAAATCAATAAGTTTCTATCAGATTTATTGCTATTGAGCATCAATTTTACAACAGTTTTTACTCTACTGTGAGGCTTTTATTGTGAAAGTCTGGAACTGAAGCCATAGTATGTAGCTGTGGATTTTCCTTTGAAAACTGCATCTAGATGTAATTTATTTTCAAGTTCTCTGTTTGTCTTGTAAGATACCATTATTCTGAAAGAGTGGACTAGAGACAGTGCTGCACATTGCTACTAAACTTTATTTTGAAACTTCTTATTCTGACCACATGACTGACTTTTATTGTGAAGGAACCAGGGTATAAGATTTTATGAAATCATTGATTAAAAAGTGAATTTATTGATCTGACCAGAATCAATGTTTTCTGTCAATGAACACAGTTTGAAAAATAAAAGCACACAGAAAATGCTCGGTGATCCCATCAAAATAAAACATGAATAATTTACAGAATCTTTTTAGAGTGTAACACCACCCAGCAGCCAATCAGGAGAGAGAAAGTGTGACATCAGCCGTTTGGGACAAATTAAAATAATTAAGGATTATTGATCTGAAGCTCCTCTTCATCACTTCTCCTCAGACAATCCTCTGTGCTCGTCTTTGTCTTGCCTCTTCTTCGCCTCCTCTGCCTTCCTCCTGCAGACCTCATAGAGGCGAAAGGCAGCAAAGGCAGTGGCGAGCAGACAAGCAGCTCCCAGGATTGACCACCAGCTGAAGGAGGAGGAGGAGGCTCCCTGCAGAGAGGAAGGGGAGGACTGCGTGAGCAGGAGGTCACGTTGGACCCAAAATCAAAAGTCTGACGGTTACCTTGATGAAGCTATAGACTCCAAAACACAGGAGGATGATCACAGCAAGGATCTGAATGCAGACGGGAGGACTGGAGTCAGCTGCCATGATTGGTCCTTTTGTTAAATGTCACAAGCCAATCAGAACACCCGATTTCAGATTTAAATTCAATTTTTAACTTTACATCTGTTTGTTTATAAAGTCTTTTATTGTAAAACAAAAAATCCTGAAGTATGCCTTTATCCTGTGAAGTCACAGGATAAAAAAAAAAGTTAAAGGTAAAAATATGAAAACATTTATATCAATAGAAATAACAGAATTAAAAATCAAACTGAAGAAAAAAGTCACGTAAATAAATAAACAGATTGAAAAAATCTCATTAAAAATAAGAGTGCGGTGATCTCAGTGTGAACACTGGTCTGAGCGACACAGCGCAACCGAGACGTTTTTAACAGCTACTTTAATCCCACACTGTAAAAAAATTTCACCATCAGCTGATTACACTGTAAAAACAAAAAACTGGTTAAAACTGTAAAATAAATCTCAAACATACATGTTTCTATGAATATATAACTTTTTGTATTTAAATTAACTTTTATTTACTTTCGTACATAATGAGACAGAACACTAAGTATTAGTTTTAAACATAAAAAAGTAAAATATGGTGGTTAGCACTGTTGCCTCACAGCAAAAAGGTCCTGAGTTCAATTCTACCATCATGCTGGGGTCTTTCTGTGTGGACACAGTCCAAAGACATGTAGTTAGTGGGGAAAAGTTATTTGGAAACAATAGTTGCAAATGGTTGTCTGTGTTAGCCCTGTCCAGGGTGTAACCTGACTCTCGCCCTAAGACAGCTGAGATAGGCTCCAGCACCCTGCGACCCTGAAAAGGGTAAGCGGTGAAAATAAGTAAAGATGTTTAAAATGATCTTTCCTCAGTAATATTGAACTAAAACTGATTTAATAATAAAACATCACAATGCAGCAGTTCTTTAAATTAATCTTATTTTTTTATTGATCGACTTTAAACACTGAAAGTTGTTTTTGTGTTGACGCGGCGTTCAAGGGATCCACCTCAGCCTCTGCTAATCCTGCACTCAGGTTAATGAGGCAGTGAATGCAACACACACACACACACACACACACACACACACACACACACACACACACACACACACACACACACACAC